AAGATGCCAGAAGACGAAAACAACAATACACAGATAATTCAATGCAAGAATATTTTTTTAACTTAGAAATAACGAAATCTTCTAGAAACACTTAGGTTTGTAATTTACTATTCCTAGGCTCCTAGCTACTGCACTCTTTTTTCCTTCGCCAAGGTTTTGTCCCGATCTCCCGACGGGTTTTACTTGGCAAGGGTTTTAATGAGGCAGTCATTTATGCGTACTTATTCCTATTATGTCAATTCAATAAAATCACACCTTTTAGAGGCATATGATATTTTTTTAATAATTAAATTAAAAAAAAAACAAGGGCCGGGGCCGGCCCGTGAAGGGCCTGGGCCCAGGCCCGGCCCTGGCCCTTATGGACTAGGGCCAGGGCCTGGACCGGGCCTGAGTTTTTCTTCTCAGGCCCGGCCCAGGCATGGCCCTGCACTGTGCAGGGCCGTGCCTGGCACGGCCCAAGCATGTGATGGGCCTGGGGTCAAGCGTGCCGTGCCGGCCCGGCCCAGCACGTTTGACAACTCTAGCAGCAACGTACAAGGACAGATTGGCTGCTGGCTGGTGTAGAGATGTCAAATGGGCATGGACGGCCCGACCCAGCCCGTAATAGTGCTGAATTCGGCACGGCCCGGTTCGCTACTGTTACGGGCCGTGCCGCCCCGGCATGTGTAACGGGCTAGGGCTGGGCCTCGACTTCTCAGCCCGCGGCCCAAGCCCGGCCCTAGCACGTGAAGGCCCGCAGTATGGCCCTAGCCTAGTTCGGCCCAAGCTCAGATTCGGCCATTGTTCAGCCTGGCCCAAGCCCGCGAAACGGCCCGTGAAATAGCCTAATCTAAATACTACCGTTGGGCCTTTCGTAGGCCCAACGGGTGGCCCGTGACGGGCCTCCCATTTGGCAAGTGACGGGCCTCTTGTTAGGCCCGTCACGGGCCGTCTGTTGGGCCCGCGAAGGGCCCAACGGTAAGAATCCAAAAATGGCTAAAAAATGCCCTATAAATACCCCTTAATTCCACCATAAATCCCACACAATAATTCACTCTCAACTTCTCATCTCAATCTCATTCTATCTCCCAACTTGTCTCTTTCATTTTGATTCTAAGCTTTTTTCTCGCGTTCACTCATTTTCTTACTCTTTCATTTACACAGTTCAAGTTCAATCAATTTACAGAAAATGGCTGCACCAAACTTCCCTGATTTCACTACTCTTTCTGAGCTTGGTGATGAGGCATTTTTTGAGGATGAAATGATGCCTCCCAACCCCACCCCCATTGACCCAGAAAGTGCTCTGGTGGGTAATGCTTTAGTGCACAACAAGGAAGCTGGAGAACGCAACAGGAGAAAGAGACCGCGAGCAACAGAGCAAGCAACCGAATTCTTGACGAGAAGAGAAGCAGAATGCATCCAGATATCTTGGAAGGGCTAATGTGCGTTAAAGACTGAAAAGATGCCAGAAGACGAAAACAACAATACACAGATAATTCAATGCAAGAATATTTTTTTAACTTAGAAATAACGAAATCTTCTAGAAACACTTAGGTTTGTAATTTACTATTCCTAGGCTCCTAGCTACTGCACTCTTTTTTCCTTCGCCAAGGTTTTGTCCCGATCTCCCGACGGGTTTTACTTGGCAAGGGTTTTAATGAGGCAGTCATTTATGCGTACTTATTCCTATTATGTCAATTCAATAAAATCACACCTTTTAGAGGCATATGATATTTTTTTAATTAAATTTTTAAAAAAAATACAAGGGCCGGGGCCGGCCCGTGAAGGGCCTGGGCCCAGGCCCGGCCT